GTCTCGGGGGGGTGGATCCTGTTGCCATCGGAAATTGGGTTTTCTCCCTGTACTCCATTGAGAGGGTTCCTCTCTAAATGAGGGGTCCTCCCATGCGCCTCTCGCTTTGGTGAAACCGGGGTTGAAGATGGGTGGGATACCCCTGGACCCAGATGAGCTGGGCTGTGTGAATTGTGAATTGTTCCATTGTCTATTGTCTGAGTCAGTTCTGCAGTCTTCCGTTTCATGACCGTTTCTGAAACATTTGTAACAGAATGGACAATCATCTGGTTTATGCCCATATCTGTTACAGTTGGAACACCATCGTGTGTTCGAGTTGACCAGGTCCGCTGTGAGGTATTCTTGTCCGGTCCATACCTTGAGGCATGACCTGAAACTCTCTTCTGCACGAGGGTGCAGTTGGTATTTTAGATTTCTCAATTTCGGATCTTCGGGGTCGCCAATTAAGCCGAACTCTTTAATATTTTTTCCCATGGCAGATTCAATACAGGTTTTGATGAACATTGAGGCTGCAATGGGGAAGCGCATAGCCATGACCCAAAAATTATTTCTTTTATCTTCTTTCCGTTTTTTTTGCCATTCCGCACGCGGTAGCCAGGGATGGAAGTAAACAAAATTCATTTTGGATCCTTCTTTGAAGCTCATTTCCTTTTTGACATTCAACAACCATTCCACTACTTTGAGGTTCTTTGCGATGTAGGTCATTTGGCCTCTGCCCTCCATGTGAGTAACGCCCTTCTGTGAGCTCAGTTCTTCTTCTGATAGGACGTATTCCTCAAGGTATTTGATAAGGTCGACTTTCTAATCGTTAGACGAGTTTTTGGTCTCCCCTTGAAAGACAATCGCGATCGTCATTTTCTTGAGGAAGGAATTTTGAACTTGTTGTATATTTTCGTTAGGCCTGACTTCAATGCAATCTTCTTCATCATTGATTGTGGTTTCCACGTACTCAGAGACATCCTGAGACACATGGCCCAGGAACCAACCTTCCATCATTCCCGTTAGTTTCTGTAATTTGTCATCGTCCATGTCCATCTGAGGGGGATCGGAGCCAGAGGTGCTGGTTCCGTTGTTCGCCATCTTGTGTCGTTTAGAAAGAGCTGAGAGAGGTTACTTGTCGATGAAGTTGGTAGGAGGAGACTATAACTAGGGGGTGGAAATAAAAAAAAACAGTCTCAGGATTTGGGGAGAGGGTTGGGTAATCGAGATTATGTGTGAAGTGGGGGTGAGGACGAGAGTTAGTGCTGTATTGGGGGAGTATGGTTAACGTTAGTAGTGGGAGTACTTGACTACGGAAAGATGGGAGATGAGTGGGGTGTGTCCACCGCTGTGAGGTGGGGGAGGGGCGTGATGAGGGTGAGGAAGTAAACGAGCCGGCGGGAAAGGTCACCGTGAAGAAGGGGAACGAGCAAAGTGTGCCCAGATTCGGGATGCAACTGGAGAGGGGCGATGTGTGATTACAAGAGAGAAAAGTGGGAAAGCGAAGTGGCACGTGGGGGGGATAGGGCTGGAATTAATATTAAAGGATGAGTAAGGGAAGGAGAGCACGACGGGGAAGGAGAAGTGGGTAATCTGAAGGTAGAGTTCACCGTGAGGGGAAGGGAAGTAGTCTTAGTCAGGGGCCAAGGTACGGCAAGATACCCTATTGCCCTCCCTACTTTCACTAATTAAGCGGTCATTACGATCGGCGAAAAAAAAAAAAAGGGGGGGGGGTTCGAGAGAATGAACTAGCGTATGAGATTGGAATTCGAGTCGGGACAAGGGGACGAAGGCGTCGGATAGGGCTGAGAGGAGTATGAGTGCCGGGATAGAACATAATTTGCACGAAGAGGGGCTTTAGGTGGCGGGGGAGGCGATGAGTCCGATTGGCTTTCCAGGCACGGTGCAAAAGAAGGACCTCGTGATGAGGGTAATTTCTGGGAAAGGAGCAGAAGAGGAACCTTGTGATGATAGGGTTGAGTTGATGTGAGAAGAGGGGAAAAAAAAACTATTGGCGGATAGGAGAGGACCAAGCGGATGAAGGTGGGATTGGGTGTAAAGGACCTAGAAGTGACTGAGTGCAAGATGAGTAGAAAACCATCGGGTGTAGATTTGGAGAGGTCGGGAGGGATGTAGACGGGATTAAGGGAGAAGGACGTCGAGGTGGTTGAGTACGACGTCTGTAGGCGCTATGACAGGAAAGGTAAGTAGCATGTGGGAATGGAAGGAGAGGTGGCCGCTTCGACACAGAGTGTGATGCAAATTATAAAAACAAAATGCGAGCAGGTGTAGAAAAAGGTATTTATGAGGAGAGGTCAGAGGTTGAGGTCGAGGGGAGATACTATGTATAGGGTATCTGAAAATATGCCAGGTACCAAGCTCGGAAAAAACAAGAAGGGAAAAACGTACAGGAAGACGGTATTTACCTGGAATTATGAGGGCAGTCCGGACTTCCGTTCGCAGAGCGCCAATGATGGGACCCACCAATGTAGGAACAGTAGGCTAAATGCCAAAAAAGGCAAATCATGACGCGTGAAGAAATGCAGACTGGAAATGATGTATTCTCACCGACTGGGAATTCCATGCTGGAGTCTTAGGAGAAGCTTGAGTGAAGCGATTCCTGAATGTCGATGTAATCCGGATCGTCAAGTATAGACGTTGCCGGTAGATCCCTGTAGCGGAATGCTCGAAGGCGAGTGTTACGCTGGTAACTCTGGGAAAATTCTGGTCGGGAAAACTTGCGAGGTTGAGGGGGAGGTGGTCTCCCGAAGTGAACAGCTTCCGTGCGGTACAAAACGCTCGCGATGGGTTAACAGTTGTTACTTCGCTGCCTTCACCTCACGGAGGTGAAGGTGGGATAGCTATGGTGGAATTCACTACGGGTTCAAGCCGCGCAAACGGCGCAGGTACATCAAGGTGCCGCTGAGGTCGCGCGCCGAACCGTCCCCCCGTAGTCGTAAGTTTTTTTTTTTGTTTTAGTTCCAAGGAAAAAAAAAGGACGGGAACAAATGGTGTCTAGTACTTTCTACACTACTTCCTTTAGATTCGTCAGTATCTGGCCGCAACTATGGGAGGATGCATTCTCGGGATAATGGTTTCCCTTGTGTTACATGGGATAAAGCCGAGATGCTCCTTTTTTTTTTTTTTTTGCAAGAAAAATCGAACGAAAATGGGAAGAAAGTGCCCCAAACGCTACTTTCCTGGCAGGCAGTTGGATGCTCCCCGTTTCTCACGGGGAGTCAACTGAAAAACTGCCTGATATCTCTCTTGCTAAAAGAAGAAAAAAAACAAAGCATTGCTCACGTCATGTGCTTCAGGCCAAACCTGCGTCCCGATTCATGCCAACAGTTGTGATGCCATGCGTTCATTAAACGCGTGTTCTGCGTACAGGGTTTGAACGCGTTGAACGCGCGTTCAATGAACGCAGGTGAACGCTCTGAACGCGATCGCGCAGAGCATCACCCGTGCAGGGAAGGTCCGTCAGGGTGGCTGGGTCGTGGTGGCGGGTCCCTGCGACCCTCCTGAGCGCGGGTAGGGTGCACCCCGCGGGGTGCGCGCAACAAAAAAGGAAAATAAAAGAAAAACCAGGAAAAAAAAATAAAAAATTAGGGCCGCTCGAACGGCCCTGCATGTTGCAGCGCTTCGGTTACAAAAGAGCGTGCGGGCCGTTTGAGCGGCACTCAACGCTCAAACGCGCTGGTCCGGTCCGTTCGAACACGGAAGACGCAGAGAGAGACCAAGAGAGAGAGAGAGAGAGAGAGAGAGAGAGAGAGAGAGAGAGAGAGAGAGAGA